TTTCGAAGGTGTATTATTCTATAGGGAGATGTTATTTTTCCACATTCTATATATCATTTTGTTCGTGGAGACACAGGCAATAACTTTATTTAATAAATATCTCCTTGTATATTATATTGTAAATTCTCTTTTGTTTATTATAGTTCTTTGTCTATATGATTGTATATTATTTTTAAAGATACTGATACAGTATTATAATATACCAGTATATCATCATAGTATATACGGTCCATGGTGAAAGTAATGGCAGTAAGATTTTTTTGAATTTTACTTCTGAAATACATCTACGTACAACGAAATTTGATGCATGGCTACCACGGCTTTAACGTCAATGTTAAAGTTTGTGAATTTTCCGATTGCTGATACTTTTAAATTAAATAAATTTACGTAACGGTAGTATAGCCATTTGTTCAAATTACAGAGATTATTAGTGAAAGTCAATATCCAACGCTAAACATGATCTCACCTTATTAATTTCAAGTTTCGTGATAGTCAAATGACAACCACAACAATTCAAAAAAGAGATCGTATCTTACGGCAAACGAAAACGCGCGTTGGAAATATACATTACAAATACCCAATCAACCATGCTAAGAAAGCTTGTAAGTATCTGGCAATTCCTGCTTCTTCGGTTCCTTCTGAAGGCTATTCTCAGATGCTGGTATTACAGAAAAACGCAATCGATTAGATCCTGATTGTGTACACGATGGTTTTTTTTAAAAAATATTAGAGGTTTCAGGGTTTCAAATGAACACTTTTTTTATTTTGTCCAAACTAATAGTCATGGAAATAAAAATGCTATAAAGTTAATTTTTGTGTTCGGTTACATGTGTGTGCCACTGTATATCCGAATCTTGAGAATTAATATTATAGAAAATTTCTTTTGTAATGATGTATCAGTATGTAAAAATATTTTTGTAATAAAAATGTAACAATAAACGAACGCAATATACGTCATTATATACAAATAGTGCATATATATATATTGTATGTCTTTGCACAAGAAAAGGATCTCAAATGTCATCTGAAAAAATCGAGAAATACGCAAAATACATCTGTATCTATTAAATTACCTCAATTCCGTGTTTAATGGAAAGAGACTATAGTTCAACATAAAGTAATCTATTAACAAATTAATGTATCATAACAATGCATCTAGAATGAATCGGATTTAGGTCAATAATCCAATCCAATTAATTCAATAATTTTGGGACTGAACCCGTAGCTTTTTAATTAAAAATTAGAAAATTCATTAAAAAAATTAGATAATTAATATTTTTAATTTCTTATAAACTTTTTGGTAAAAAATTTATGGTAATTGCTACATGATATTAGTTGTAATTCCAATCGAAGGAACCAACTTGTTTGTGGAAATACTAATTAATATCATATTTTCTCATATAGCCACCAATAATAGAATTTATTATAATAATAATTACCTGATTTATCTGGCATTAGTTTTAAAACTTTGATAATAGAAAAATTTATTTAGATCCTATTGCTATATTAAATATCCTTCATTTACATGTATATTAAATCTTGTACATGTAAAGTAACGCCAGATTTAAAATTATACAGTAATATATATATTGTTGATTTATAATTAAGATTTTAAAAGTCGCATAACTCTTGTCAAAAATACAATTGATTAGCTTTAAAATGAAATAAAATTTGGAAATTGAAATATAGATATATAACTTGAAATTTTCAGTTTTTAATATAAAGCGTGAGAAAAAATTTTTTACTTTCAAATTAGGGATGGTTGCAGTTTATGCGGTTTACAGTGGTTTAAATGAAATTTCTAACTATTTTTATAAAATTGTCAAAAATTGGCAATTTAAGTAAAGTAAATAAATGATAACATGATATTTCCAATCAAAACAATATTTGCATTTTAAATTGCCACAAATCTTGTATTATTTTTTTAAAAATACAATCAATTAGCTTTAAATTGATATATAATTTAGAAATAATTATATAATAGTTACTTCTTGCGGGTACTGTACATGTATTTTCTAACATGAATTACATCTTGATTGTTTATTTGAATTACTGCACTTTTAAAAAAGTGACACATTGTATAGGCAAAATACAATCTTGTACTCTTTGCTGAAACTAACTTTTCCAAAATTTGCAGTGAAAAATTCCAAACCACTAATCGCAGAATTGCATTTACCAAATCCTACAATTTACGTAATAAAGCAAAATAATTATCACCTCTTTTGTGCTTAACTAAGTGTTGGACAATTTTGAACAATTTATGTGAAAGTTTTGACAATCTAACGTTGATCTTTGAATTTTGTTTCAGGTTGTTATATGTACGTATATGTATCGGTATTGGTTGTATTACATGTAATACGGTCGTATGTCAGTTTCTTTTGTGCTCTGATATACAAACATTATCGAAACCAGTCCAGTTACATGTACATGTACAACGTATTCGTTTCAAAAAGTGGTCAGATCGTAAAAACACAATTCTATTAAAAGCTACCGCTACCACTAAAAATGAAAAATGGCTGCTAAACTTAATGAATTGTGTCTTCAAGAAATATTCGATCTCGTCAGTATCAACGAAAATGGAGATCGCTGTGGACAAAATTTATTCAACTGTGCACTCGTTAATCGCCACTGGTGTATGAATGCAATACCGATTTTATGGAGAATCCCGTTTTCTTTTTCATTACGAGGTCATTCAGCATTAATTTCAACTCTTATAAAATACTTAGCGTTAAGCGATGAAAAAAAGAGCCCCATTTTTATATTATCGATTAATCACACATATCGACTTATTTTATCTGGCGGAAGCGATTCAAAGATATTTGTCAAATCTGCGAAACACATTTCTACGAGATTTTCAATCGATAAATATTGTGACATTGTGTTTGGAATATTTACCAAATACCAAACGCCAATGCGTCATTAAGAAACTGAGCATCTCCAGCTCTAAAAGTTATTGAATCCGCAGCTGAAATTTCGTCTAACCTTTCAAATATCAAAATAGCTTGCAATTTTTGCAATTGTTGTGATTGTTACTCTTGTTGCTATTGTTTCGACGAAGGTTTCACCGAAGATGAAGAATTATATCAGATAATCTCCTATATCAAACAGTTCAACAATTTAAAATGTCTAACTATTTCAATTGGTAATCGTAACTGTAACAACCTTTTTTCTGAACTCGGGAGAAACTTACCGAAAACACTAGAAAATCTTTGCATTGAGGGAAATTTCGTGTTTACAAAAAAATATCTAGAAAAATTTTTTTATGGAGCAAGAGGAATAAAATTTCAGTCATTAAGCTTTCCGGATTCAAAACGTATTTTGGAAACTATTTGGAAAACGATTGATAATTCAAGCTTAGATATCAGCATCAAAGAACTTGATATTTCTTCCGGAAAATTTGTAACTGGAAAGCATGCTACAAAACTTCGAGACCGAGGAATTGAAGTTAAAATTATGGATTGTTCTGAATTTCATTATTATTATGATTCCGATCGTTATTATGATTCCGATTATGATAATACCTATTATACAGTGACTCACTAAAGAAACGGAACGCGGAAAAAAAATGGCGAGATTCGAATATCTCGCCATTGACGAATTATCGGAGACCAAAAGAAAGTGGATTTTATTCATTAAAATAATCACAATGACTTAATACAATTTTTATTTTCA